GTTCATGAGATACAGTGTTCCTCGTGAACAATATCAACATCTTCTCTAGCGTCTAATGTGGAGGCATCATTGAAAGAAGCCTGACAGAAAATAATTATAACATTTTGATATTGAACATGTCACGTAATAGACGTAAGTTCATGAGATACAGTGTTCCTCGTGAACAATATCAACATCTTCTCTAGCGTCTAATATGGAGGCATCATTGAAAGAAGCCTGACAGAAAATAATTTGTTGGTAGTAAGGGAAGACACCATTATAATAAAGTAAAGGTAAAGAGGTTAAAACAGAAGGAGAAGTATTAAGTGGAGAATGGGCAAGGAAGTAAGGTGGCCAAAGTTAAATAGAAAACTTGTAAAAGACTGGCATGTTAAAATCTTCAAATACCTTATTAATTTCCAGTAAAAAAAGAATCAATTAGGTGTAGATTCAGGTAGAGAATAAATAAAAAATAGACAGCAAGGGAAAAGATGTAAATATGCATTTACAAATAAACCAAATCTTTATTCATAAAACATACTGCTGAGGCTTTGGCTAAACTGGGAAGATTCTGTGTGGTTTATCAAACACTGCTTGAACAGATAGATGGCATGTCTACATCAGATAAATATAAAAGCAAGAATCCTAATATTACTTCACTGTTAATTATAAACAAAAGTTTCTAGTGCAGTATCCTACAATTCAAGGCAATCCAGGTCAGAAATCATTCCCATTATACATTCAAGGGAAGTAAATTTCCAATCATATCAAATTGCACAGGTCTCTGTACCACCCCTAAAATGAAGGTGACCTCATTCCAGGGAAGCATGATACAAAAACAAATTTAAGCAAATACAAGAGTGACCATGCAGTTGGTTTACTTAAAATGTTTTACTCTGAAACAAATAATAATTAAATTATTTTCAGCTGTCTTTGTGATATTTTCTTTAGTGTCAACTGTATAAAACTTTTGGCACACCCTGCATATAATGACAGATCACAAAACACAATAGAGTAAAAACAACATTTGAAAAGATACAATATTTACAACAGTGAAAATGAGTAGTCTTGAGAAGCTTTCATTGTAAATTAGACCATCATCAGGTTGGGATTTCAACAAACTATCCTGAGAAGAATAGGATTGTATTGTGCACTATGGGTGAGACAATCACTCATTACAAATAGCATATATTTAAAAATACCAGAAATGCAGTCAGTGGCATATTCACACAGATCTCTAACTTGGGAAAACTTATGTGAGAACAAGAAATGAATATGACGTTTTTTAAATTAAAAACATCTTTTAACACTAGTAAATACAGTAGTAAGGCATCATGATAAGAACAAAGGGCATAATCTTAATATATATATATATAAAAAACACAGATTGGGCACTTAACAAACTTTTAAGTTCTTAGTTATATATATTAAAATCCATATTCACTGGGAAGGAGAAACTTGCAAGTTGTAGCAGAAGGCATGACTGATTGGTGGCTCATCTTCTGGTGTAGGGTGACAGCTGGTAGAGGCTCTCCAACACAGACTCTCTACTGCTAAAATTTAACCAGCTTTCATTAAAGAATGTGTATATGTTATGTTGTTTATTGGTATGAGCATGTGACTAATATTCACTCAGCAACCAAGATCACAGGTGTGGCACATGAACTCTTGCTCTCATGAACACAACAGCTTGAGGTCACTGATGCATTCATGGATAGCTTTGAGTGCGAATGTTCAATTGTCACGTGCTCACTGATGCCATTACTTTGATCTCAGTTCACCACTTACCTCTTAAATTTACTTTGAGTTTGTTAATGGACTGTTATTAACCACTAATTAGTGGTCTGTAATAAATTTTCTTAACAGTTTGGTGTAGAGTTATCTTTTCCAGAGATTTGGGAATTTTTTCTGCACTCTCTCCATGTGGAGCCACACCTTGAATAAAACATCTTGGTAGTTATGCACCAGAATGTTATCCATGCATTAAAGTGAAATATGTTTGAACTCACACTTGGTTACTTAACTAGCCATATAATCTTGTTATTATAGCTGCTGTTTCCTAACTCCATATTTCTGTAATGAGAATGTAAGAAAACTACACTGAAATATTCTCGCTATATACTATTAGTGAACTTCAAATAATATTCATTTCGTTTAATTCCTTATATGTACTTGTTTTAGGATGAAGTTCACATAGAAGTTCAGTTATAGTTTTAGCTTGTTCTTGATTGTTGATCGATGGTTTTATCAGTTTTATGGTAACGGTCTGGTAATGTCTTATATATACAAGACTAACACACATCTAGTAAATGCTAGGGCATTCATGAAGGAACAGGATATTTCTAGAAACAGGTGGCGTGATACTAGTCAGGTGACCTCGCTGACGCAACACTGCCCCCTCCTTAGTATTGTTCGTTCTGAACAATAGCCGCTTACAATAAACCAATAACAATTAACAATAACTTAATTAAATGTACAGAATTACAAACACAAAAATTACAATTCAACAAAGTCTCTAAATTTTACAGGATGTAT